GAAAGGGGGTTTCTGAGTTTTAGGAAACAAGGGTTGTTTAGAGTTTCATAAGTTGGTGATTGATTTCGGAGGAAAGGGGTTTTGTGCTGTTGAGGGAAATAGTAATTATGCTAATTACTCCTCAAGCTGAGCAGTTGGGGATTTCCCGGCGAAGATTGTTGAGGAAGCGGTCGCATAGGTCAAGTTTCGATACCGATGATAGAGGTTGGACTCCGCTTCACATTGCTGCTCGGAAGGGCGACCTTAAGGAGGTATATTTTGTCTGTCTTGATTATATAATTTTTTCACTTTTTTTTTCTTGCTTGTTGAAAATTGTAGTAGTGATGCGTATATGTGCGTCCTGTTTCTTTAGGATAGTGTTCTATGAAGTTTGGGAGTTGATTGTCTTAATTCATTCCATGCTTAGATTTTCTTGGTTAAGATGGGTGTTAGTTTTGTCGAAGGTCATTGCCTTATTATTATCTGCAAACCAACTGGAGCCTTTTAGGTGTGATATCTTGAAGGGTTCTTTACTACGGAAAGATCACCCCTTTCGTCCATACAATTACTTGTTGTCATTGTTGGCTCGTTTCCATCCTATTACCCGCATATCATTTAATGTGCATACTATTCTGTGCTTTCATTTGAAATCTGATTAATTGACAGTAAAAGATTCTAAAGGTCATAAAATATAACTAAATCTGCCACAATTTTAATGGGCATTCCAACATGTTTCCTGTAACTGCTGGCTTGTGAGGCCGTGACCAACTTAAGCTCCTATGTTGGCAGCTTATCCCCCTTACAGCTCCCTGTTTTTCAAAACAACAACAACAACAACAAAGTCTTAGTCCCAAAAGCAACTGCAAGTCTAAAATTTTCTAGTTGATAGAGTGATTGAGTAGGTATCAGAAGTAGATCGAATTGTAATTATGGGTATGTATGAATGTGATAGAGAGGGTGAGGTGCTGGATAGAGGGGGCTGTGTCCCTCCCTTGAACAGTTGAACACTATTGCTTGAAGAAGGCTTCATGTTTCCACTCTTTTTTTCCTCTAGACCATAAATTATGTAGACTCTTCTTAGTCCTGTCAAAAAAAATGGAACAGATAGATTGCCTCTGTTGGCCTTACAAGCAACGGATCAATCAGTGAATTATAGTTGATAGAATTTTGGACTACCCTTTATGTTTCTGGACATTGTTTCATCATCTATGTTAGCTATTTTTAGTACTACATGTCCTTTCTTCTGTGATTTTTTATTTACTTCTAATGGAATAGTTGTGTGGAGTAAAAGTATCATAGTCCCAGATGTAGTCTGAAGTGACTGATAGACTGATTGTATAGTATAAACTTTTTACCTATTTCAGGGACAAGAAAAGGTGCAACTATAGAATAGCTGACCAAAGAAGAGGGGGGGGGGGGCAAGGGAAGTAGTTTTGACATGAAAGAAGGAACTGGTAAAAGCTAAATAATGAATGAAAGAAAGAGAAATGGATGAAAAAATTTTCTGAGGTTGGGAAAGAGTACGCTTTGAGATGCTGAAGTAGTGTGGACAAAGCTTTTTAGATTTAGAAATAGAGTTCTGGTCTTTTGGCTTTTGTTCTTAGGAACAAAGTAAGATTAGGGTTTATCTTCCTTTTTTTAAGGTATTTCTCTGATTAAGGTATTAATAGGAAATTAAGGTTTTTGTTGCCCTGTGGTATCCATATTTCTAATCTTGTCGAGTTGTTTTCCTTGGCATCATTATACTTTGGGTTATCTATAAGTCTACACACAGCAGGCTAGATCATATTCTAACCTATGCACGTCGCTGTAAAAATTTGGTTTCGTTGAAGTGTAGGGTGTGTATAACATAAGAGAGTTTATAGAATAGTAAGCAGCATTGATGGAGCTTTTACTCCCATCTCAATACTCTACCATCTGCCATTGATAGAGGAAAAGGAATGGGCAAGTGGGCATTTTGACTCTGTTTTTAAAATGGTTTTTTTTACTGAACTTAAGTTCCTTACTAAGTCAATATTTGCTAAACTTACCTTATAATTGTTGCTAAATTGAACTTGTTTTTGATTTTGTAAGCTGGAAAGAATCAGCCTGAGCATTATTTAGATCCTGATGGCCCTAGCCCCTAGGATTATACAGTGTGATTCCTATAAGCAATTTGATAAACTACTATGTGAAAGTAGTCCATATGAATAGTTCCATGTCCAATATGTTCAGGCCTGAAATGCTGCTTAAGTTACTCCAGCTTGATGTGATTGCTGTGATATGCTACTTGATGTTCTTTGAGTTCATCCTCTGACTCATTATTATCTAGCCTTGAGTTTAGTATCTTTTGAACTGGTATGAAAGGGGTACCAATTTCAATTTTGTCTTTCTTTTGAGTTCAGGATTGGGTTATTCTTTGAGATCAGGAGCTCTTCTGGCTTCACTGTTTAGGCTTTAGGAACTAAGTGCTTGCTTTTAAGATTTTCTGTGGTAGAATTGGAGTTGATTTGATAATTACAGATGATATTTGCTTATATAGTTGGGCAATGGGTCAGACCTTGGAGTTCTTTTGGAAAGTAGTACTAATTAAGAACCCATGAGGTTTGATGAATTAGGAATCTATTTCTAAGGTGCCTAAGAATATTCGAGGTATGATATATATATATATATATGGTTTCTGCTTGGTGCTAGTTTGCTACCCTCAGACTTAGAATTTGTGTTACTCATGAGTCACATATTGATGTAACCTACAGACTTTTGCTTGTGTGCCGCTTGGTGGTACTCAGTATTCGCAGACTTAGAGTTGGTATTGTACCATATTATTGGTGTGACGGTAGGTTCATGAACCTTTCTTTGACTATGTGAAGCTGCCATATTTGAATGTCAACCATCTTTTCTAGAGTTGTAATTTCTAACTAAATTCTGTTTCATATCTGTTTTTTCATTGGAATGTATCCTGTTTATTATGCAGTGTTTTATGCTGCTTTTGTTTTCTAGTAGAAGAGAATTGTTTCTTCATTGTGGTATAGTACCTCTGCATAGTTGAATTGCATTTTCCTGATGGGCTTCAAACTTGATATTGAAGTTTTAAACTGTGGGCCTACATTCAGGTTAAACGAATGCTTAATGAGGGAATGGATGCAAATGTGGCTGCTTGGGGTGCCAAAATGCAAGGTGTCACGCCTCTTCACCTTGCTGCTGAAGGAGGCCATCTCAAAGTCATGGATGTGCTGCTTGAGCGGGGTGCTAATATTGAAGCCAGAACCAAGGGTCCTTGTCGTTGTAAGTAATTCGGAGTAATCTATTACGCTTTATGGCCTTTAACCAAGCTTAATGTATCCGCTTTCATTTCTTTTAAATTCCTAGCTGGGAGCTATTTATCTTTAATCTTTACTTAACTTGAAGTCTGATTATGGTTTTTTTGGGCATTACAGGGACACCGCTCCACTTAGCAGCTAAAGAAAGGAATAGGGAAGCAGTCAGATTTCTGGTTGAGAATGGGGCCTTCTTGCCACCTGATATTAATGACAGCCGATTTAACCCACCATTACACTATTGCCCTGGCCTTGAATGGGCTTATGACGAGCTAAAGCGTTTGCAGGACAGTTCGTCTTCTGGTGAGATATCATACTGTTCTGATAATTGAAGCTGCCTTCAGTCACACATTTCACTCTCAACATTTCTATTTAGCTTTTTAGCCACCTTTATCGAATGCCTATTATTTAGCTGTTGATGTTTATGATAGACAGTTACTATGCTCTGGTATGTGGTATGTAATGACTGACTGCTAAGCTCGACATTTGGTTGTGTTATATGATGATGTAGCTTTGGGGTTGCATCATAAGTAGTATATTAGGTAATATGGAATTGTCATCGTTGTATGATCTGTTTTGTCATGGATGGTTTGCATTAATGAAATAAAAGTAGACTTGGTTTACATTACTCTTCTGCAATGATTTAAATCTCTAGAATAGGGGAAAGTATCAAGTCATCAGAGGTTATGCCGATATGGATGATGGAAAGCCCTCCAGATGTAAGCTATCTTGTAATCTTGGATAAACCGAGTAGTCAATAATTAAGTTCTTTTATTTATCGTTAAAAATATGATGTTGGCAAAATTAGCTAAACCATAAATTGTTTACTGTGCATCTTTTTGCATCTAACCAAAGTCCAATTCTTATTATGGATGTTTAGATCTTCTGTAACCTTGATTAACCGACATCAATTGGACATGATTACATGGTTTGGCTGAAGAACAATGCAAATTAAACTATTCTACCATAAATTTGTCAACATAATGCTATGCAAGTACATCACTATCATTTGGACATTTGTTATCTTTGATACATAGAGTGTTACTCTTGTGTAATTACATTGGTTTTGGTTGCTCACTAACCATGTTCTAATAACAAATAAGGATTTTCTAGTTATGAAAATGTTTGTATCTCACAATTAAGAGGTTATGTGATCAAATTTCAATAACGAACTCTTAAGGGAGGTTATTCTTACTGACCCATACTGAGTTGACTCGTGCAGAGTTAGAAAAAAATAAAAATAAAAAAACCAAATCCAACCGGACCGGGCCCCCCCTCATTATAGTACTGTACAAGTTAATTTAGAAAAATACTTGTGTGATACTTGTGCACAATATCTAATTTCCTCTTTATTTTTATCTTCTTACACAAATGTATATGAATAGAATCCTTACTTTTCATTAAATTACTTCATATCACTCTATCACTGAACTGTCTTTGGATGTGAAGTGTGAACGAGTCCATTTTAAGTTTTGTTTCCTCCTCAAAATAACCATTAATTTTCTTATGAATGAAAGATTGTATAACTATAAATATATAGATATAGTTATACATAATCTTTAATTTGAAAAGTATAAACTTGACCTTAAAAATGTTTCTTTTGTTTTTATTATTTGTTGAATTGATTTACTACTTTTCCCTACCAAAAAAAATCAGCCGAGGTAGCAAAATGTAAAGCTGTGACAATTTGATTGACAATACGACAATACTTGAATCTGTGGACAATTTTTACATGAACTAAAAAAGTTTTCATTTGACTTTGTCATCAAATCTTTCACACAGTATTTCTTTCCATTCTCATACTTTCATTAAAAATCCAAGATTTTCTTACAGCCAAAAAATTAAATAAATAGAATACATCTTAAGATTTTTTTGATACTATCAAACTTGATTAGGTCCTACTCATTCTTGGCAAAACATGAACCGCAGCAACATTGAACCCTTGTGGTGGCTCAACCACCCACATTTGCGGCGGCGATGCCACCACATCCACCACAACTATCTCACTCCCACCTTTACAAACAACGCAAAGCCGGCCGCCTCGAGCCGCCATCTGCTGCGCCCCTCGCAGCCTATCACTCTCTACCACATCCACCCACCCATCTGTCTCCTCGTTGTACTTCCTCACCACTCCCTTGGATTCATCCACCACGTAGATCATTTCTTCGTCCATTGCGGCCGCTGGGCCCCGCCACCCGCTTAACATACCTTCCTTCATGTCACCCCATAAGTCTTGTTCTGCGCTGTAGACAGCTCCCTGCTTGGCAGTGTCACCTTTGACGTTGACCATGCAGAGGCGGCCGTGCCAGCCAATGGCATCAGTCGCCTCCCGGGAGAACCGCCCGTCCCGGAGGGAGCTGACCTTCTCCCACTTGTCACAGCCCCTGGATAGGTCCCACCGCTCCACGGATCGGGCGGTATCCGTGGAGAAATGAGGACCGACCCCACTCGCCATATAAAGGGACGTATCAAGTGCCCCGGCAGCACACCACCTGCGGGGCACTGGTACAGACGGGCCATACCGCCAGTCCCTCGAGATGGGGTCAAACACCAGGGGCCGTGACAAGGCAGGAGCAAGGTGCTCTGTAGTCCCCGCGACCACAGCCAGTCTGTTACCAACCGCAACAGACTGGACTGGAAGGTCGCGGGAGATAAAAGGCGGGTGTCGAAGGAGAAGAGACAAAGGTGGTGGGACTGGTAAAGGCTCCCATTTAGAACAAATGGGATCAAAAGCAAAGAAAGAAATAGGAGTAAGAAATTGTTGTGGGTTTGAAGGAGAAGATTTGATGGTAATATTGGGGATCAAAAGAGTGTAAAGAGAGTAAAAAGGAGGGTAAAGAGGGGAGTAGATGAAACTACGCCATGAATGAGAAATTGTATAAAGCAATGAAGGTGGGATTTTAGAGAGGATTAATTGTGCAATATGATCTGGGAGACCAGGAATTAGTTGTTGCTCATTTTTTGTGTTATCTGCGTTTTTTGTTGGTGGTGGTTGCGGTGGTGATCACGGCGGTTGTTGCGGTGGTGGTGGGAATTATCATGGTTGGAGAGTTTAGGGGTTTTTCTGGACATAGATTTTTAGTAATTTGGGGGGTAGGAGGGAGGGGTGTGTTTAAAAAGATAATGTGTGGTAGAGAAGGGGAGGTGGAAAAGGATAATAGTGGAGGACTTGAGCTTAAATTGATAGGAGCTTGCCCTTCTTTTTGGGGTATTTTTATTTATTTATTCTTAAAAAGTATTTTGTAAAATAAATCATAATTCATACTATATATTCTTTTACAAATTCTTATATGCGGTCGTGGCCAGCTATAATTGGGGATACTCGTTATTATTATAAAGGTTACTCAATCAGTGTTATAGGGTTATTTCGTCAGTGTTATAGGGATTACCCGGTGAGTGTTATAAGGGTTACTTAGTCAGTGTTACATGGGTTGCTTTGTTTTTTACAAGCAGCCACATGGTGTGGCCAGCTGCACATAAAGCGCATTGTCTTTCTTTTGATTTAATATAATTGCAATTGCTTTAAAAAAATAAAATATAATTGCAATTTGCAAGATTTTTTTTTCTTATGTAAATATACTTTTTTTCCCCCTTATTTTACATAGTATTTATTTCGTATTTTTCATGAAAAAGGCTCTTGCAATCCATCATGATATTCACATTAATTTATTTTTTTCAAAAGAAGGGTTATTATAATGTATAGATTGAAGGTGATAATCTATCTGTTGTCATACCAATTGTATTCAAATTCGAAAACTCCAATCCATGAAAAAATTGCAATTATTATTAAAGGTATTCACAATATTTATTAAGTGTTGTCTATTATATATATTGAAAAATAAGCAACATCTATGTGAATTCGTGATCACGAAGTAAAAAACAAAATGAACCTATCACAAATTCACAATAAATAGTTAAAGAGTAAATGTTATTTTTTATACTCCGTAGGATAAGAAAAGTCTTACTTATATATTTTTTTTTTTTGAGGGCATACTTAATTTTATTTGAGACTCTCATATTAATATATAACTTATCTATTCGATTTAATTTCTGTCCAATACTCCTTTTATTTCAAAATGACAATATAACACACAAAACATCTACCAGTATAAACATATTGTATAATGTATACTAATATAAACCTTGCCATTGGACTATTTGGACTAATCTATGATCCCATAACTTTTGTTGGATAAATTTTGTTTTTTTGTTTTTTGACAACCATGATTTTGTCTTTGAAAACAAGGATAAAATTGAGGAATGTAGCGTGCTACTTTAAATTAAATTGGGTTTAGTAAGTTAGGCAACCTTTATATTTCATCATGCACCGTGCACGTGCTACTGAAAAGTGAAAAGTAGGCATCTTTTTAAGTTTGCAGGAATTATGCTGCCTTTTGCCAACTTTTTAGGATGGAGAATTGTCTCTTTTTGTAGGCCTTTTTGCTACAACTTTATATTCTTTTTTTTTTTTTTTCTCATTATTATTTTTTAAAAATATGTTATTGGTGCTATTATCAATACCTTTGATTTGTTTTCCAAAGTGTTTCCATTTGATCGGTATATTTGATAGTAAGTGTGATGCGTGGAATTGAACTACACTATTGTTTTCTTTCTTAGTTTATGATCTTTAAAAAAATATCTACACCAGATCTTTAACTTTGTTTTAGTATAATTAGTTTAGTTAAAAATTACTCTGTAAATAGAGCTAAAATACCATTGTTAAGATTAAAAAGACAGTGGACTAATACATTAGTGACAAAATTCTTTATCATATGATTTTCTCTTTCCGTTTCTTCTTACTTGTTACGATTTGATTTTTTGTAGTCAACTTTTTTAAAAATTGACTATAAACATACGTTATTTTAAAGATCAAAATTATTGCATGTGGGTATTGCTAAATTCGTCTTGAAATAAATTAATTTAAACTTTTTTTGTAATTATTATATACAATTATGTCTAATTGAACATTTTCATAATCAAATATATATATGGAAGAACATAAAAATCTAATGTAACAAATAAAAAAAAACGGAGAGAGTACTTAGAATGTCATGTAAGTTTTAATAAATTAAGTTTGGTGTAAGATATAAAGAAAATTTCTTTATTTTTATTTTTGTGAAGAGCAACGCAAAGCCAATTTATTAAGTCAAATCGAGTTCTTTAACTTTGCTTTGAATTTCATTACTATTATTGAACATTTGAGCTTTCCTACTTCCACTTTTAGAGGCCCACATACATATTTGTATATTGAACATGAGTAATTGACCTCGATATTTCCTTTTTTTTTTTGGTACAAACCTAAACCTTGACTTTGATGTTTGATTATTGACATACTATGTTTAAGAAAATACAAGAAAACTTTTAATAAACTAATGGTATAAGTTGAAACATTAAAAAGAAAAAGAAATTATACACTAACATACAAGTGCTTTCCATTATTATTATTTTCTTAGCATGTAGCACTTGGATATTAATTATCATATTTAAAAAACAATTGTTCTAGATCTATACAAGTGGTCCAATGGTCCAAATTTATTAGATTAGGTTGAGTAGAGAATTATCCTTCATTCTTAAGTCTAAATGTAGTGGTTCATACATTAATCGTATAGTACTAATGTTCATTTGATTGATTATGAGAGTGTAATTTGTATGTTTGCGTTATGTTGGAAAAGCTGTACTCTTACCACGTTTTCCATGTTATATTCACTCATAAATAATTTTTTAGACTTTCATTGAAGGGGATAATTAATAAAAAAAATGCGTTCTCCTTTTTATAATAATTGAAACAGTTTGACATACATGTCAATTCATGAGTTGTTTGATCAATTATATGTCTAATTAAACATTAGTAAGAATTATTAAAAAGTTTATAATATTAAAGTTTATGTTAATATATTTAAAATCATTTTAGGATACCAGTTGTTTTTTCATACATAATTACTCAAAAGGTATATATAAAGTTAGTATGTAATTAAATAGTAAAAAAAAAAAACCTAAAATGTGTCAATTATTATGAAATAATTTTGTGATGCTATCTCAAAATCTCAAATCAATACAGAAGTGATGAGTCTATTTAATGTATTAAGAATTAGCATTATTAACTTATTGGCCAATTGACCAGATTGGTAAAAAAGAAAGGACACTCAGCGACAAATTGGTAAAAAAATTACTTCGGCGACAAATTAGTAAAAAAACTTAACCTCAAGCTACAATTTGGTAAAAAAATAATCCCAGGCGACAATTAAGCCTAAAAATACAAAATTTCCAACAAACTATTTGCAATTGCTATCGTTTTCGTGTTTTTTTTTTAAAAAAAAATAAAAAATATATTTTCCACCTAAATTTCCAACCCTTTATAAAGAAAAAAATGGTTTATATACTAATTTTCACTTAATTTTCTTACCCATTATTAACAATTTTTTTTTAAAAAGGGTTAGAAATAAATTTATGTAATTCAAAATTAGCAAAATAAAAAGGAGATGACATAATAATTTAAATTTTAAATGAAAAAAAAAATTTAAAAACATAAAACAATTTAATTAGGACTTTTGAAGAGTTTGCCAAAAAAAAAAATAGCTTTTTTGGTCTAAATGTCGCCCGAGTTTATTTTTTTACCAAATCGTCGCATAATGTTAACTTTTTTTTTACCAAATTGTCGTCGGAGTATTTTTTTTTTTTTACCAAATTGTCGTGAAGGGTTTTTTTTTTGGTTTTTTTTTTTTTTTTTTTTTTTTTTTTTTTTTTTTTGTTTTACCAATTTGATCAATTGGCCGTAAGTATTTTTATCGTAACATATAAAATATCAGGCCATTTTATTTATCAATTACAGAGTAAAATATATCTAAATCAAAATAAAAGATCTCACTCCTATGAATATTCTAAGAAATTTCTCTATGTAATTCGATGATATGCCAAATTGGAAAAGTTAAAAAATAAATAATAAATTTTGCAAATATGGATGAAGTTAAATATTATGGAACACCTAAGTAATGTGTACAAAATTAAATGTCAAGCTTCCATATAAATGCAAAAAGCGACTTTTGGGAAGCAACATGTAACACCCATACATTACTACATATCATACGGATTTCCCCACCTAACCCAAATTATTAGCTGGTATGGGGTCATCAACAGCCTAACTAGCTTAGTTCAAACATGAGCTATCTACTAGCCTAGGTTAAGCTTATTTGGAAAATATTATGATATTTTCAGGAGAGAAATAAAGCACGATTTTAACAAAATTTCACATGATTGTTTTGTTCTTATTTATAAATCACTAAGTTAGTTAGCAAATTTTGAACAAATGATGTATGATACATAATTCTTGTTGGTTATTACACAGTTTTATCAATTACCATACCGATTATAGAGTAATTTGTATAATGTTTGTTTATATATGGTTAATTGGACTCGTCAAAAAAACTTAAACTTATGTGTTGCTTGGGTCTAGGAGACCAATCTTTGTCTAGGTAAGAAATAGGGGCCTAGCTAAGAAGGAGATAAACGAAATCTCTCAAAAGTTTTGTGAAATTTGATTATAAACTACCCCCACCGTGTTTAAATAACTAAATAAGTGAAACATTTCTCTTTTGTATTTATGTCAATGTAAGACTTTGACTGATAATATATTTAATTATGAATAAGTAAAAATTATAACTTAATTGGATATTAATAAACTATTTATTGAAAGTTGAGACGATTTCAACAAGTACCCACAAGATTATATTTAATCTTATGTATATAAATGACAAACATTATTCAAAAAAGTGAAATAGATGAATAGTGCGAAAAGTCAAAACGTTTTACTTATTTAAACAAGGAGGGAGTACAAGATATAAAATTTGATTATAAACTACAAGATATGAAATGGAAAATTATAACTCCGCCACTTTAACCTCAATCGTTGCTAGTGCATAGTGGAGGCCTATTATGTACAAACTGCCTATCAAATTATCAATCATACTTTCACCTCTTTTATTTGCCTCATATTTTTTATTAGAGTTTCATTTTTAAGGATGTTTCATTATACGAAGTATTGATTGATAAATTTTCTCACATGTAGCCGTACTTACTCTTACTCTCTCCCATTGTCTACTACTCAAATTTATTTGCACCCGGATGTATAATTTTGCCTCAGTTTTTAATTTCGTGAACAGCATGAGCCTCTTACAGTTCAGTACGAGTGTTAGTATATTCCAATTTAATTGCATGGTTAAAAACATACTCGTAGTTGAGAAAGATGGACCATGCAATGTCGGTTCACATTAAAGGAATAAAGGCGGCTTTTTTGCATTGAATTTTAGTGAGCTGTTTAGTACGTGAGATGTCATTTGATTCACCGGAAAATTAATACTCCCTCTATATTTTAATAAGTGTTGTAGTTTGACCGGTACATAATTTTAGGCAATTTAATTAACTTAAATAAAATAAGAGGTAAGTGAGATAGTTAAAATATTAAAAAATTGTAAAATAAAGACAGTGGGGTTAATAGTTTATTGAAAAGTAATGAATATGTGAAGAAATATATACTTCCTTCGTTCTTTTTTTATCACATCACTTACTACTTTAGGAAGTTCACTTATTATTGCATCATTTCCTTTTTAAGATAAAAAATACCTATGTTCACACTGCAAATACCCAATGTTTCGGGGTTTTCTGATGTCCTGCGGGAGAGTTACAATTCCGAGACTGGAACCGGACGCCTGTACCTGCAAAACAAACGGATGCTCCGGATGATTGGAGATCCGCCTCCGACGGTCAAGTTAGTACTTGATTAAGGAGTAATTAATGCGGAAATTAAAGTGATTGGGTCTCTCTAGGTGAGAGAGTTTAATGTGTGTAATCTGCGTAATCTCCCTTAATGAGGATTAAGGGAGGTATTTATAACCTCGGGAAACGTGCCAATCTAGGTTTAGGTTAACCTTGGGCTGATTGGGCTTCCCACGGAAGTTGGGCCTAGGTGACCGGTTATCCCAGGTGTCATGGGAAGGACACGTGTCGTGTCGTAATTGGTCCATAGTGGATGGATCATTGCTTGACACGTGGCAGGATCCTATTGGCCCATGTGACAGACACATGGCAGAACCTGATTGGTCCACTTGTCAGATGGTGATTGGTGGGGAAAAATCCCCTAATCATTTGCCCCTCACAGGTGGCACGTGACTGGTCACGTGTTACCTGTGACAGGTATCGCCCTGTAACAGGCGACGGCCTGCTACAGGTGTCACTCGGCGAGAGGCCGAGAGATTCTCCCGCCAAAATTTTGAATTCTGGAAGTGACCCTTCGCCTTCTCACTTCGCCTATATAAAGGAGTGTTGACTTCGGTCATTTTCACACTTGAAAACTTTGTGAGAGAACATTCAGACCCCTGAACTTGCTCTGACATTTTGGACCCTTTCTGCCTACCGCCTGCTCTGACAAGCCGACTGCAAAGGATTTTCAGAACTTCATCAATCGTCACTCGTTCAGGTAACCGTCGGTTCTCTTACTCTTAATTTTCTCTTTATTCTTTTTTGAAATGGCACCACGGAAGCACACGACACGACCTAGGTTAGTGATCAGCCGGTCACCGGGACTGCTGAATCTAGGACTAGGAGTGCCGCCTGCCCTTTTCTGGACCCATCTTTGCCCTTTATACAAAGTCCGACTGTATCTGTGTCTATGCAGAGCATGATGGCCAGAACAAAAAAGACTGCCAGGATCTCAAACTCAGACGGCTCCTCCCACAGCGTGCCGATTAGTGAAACATCTGACCAGGCGCCAGATGTGGAAGTGAAACAAAGCGGCTTGAAAGCCGGCAGTTCTGAGGGAGGAGTCAAAGTGACCCCTTCCCATTTTACAGTTGACAATTCTACATTCTCTCCTGCTCCTTTTAAAGGAGAGGAGGCGGGCCCCTCCGGGAGAGGGGAGGAGTCGTCCTCTTCGAACTCGTTAGAGGACGATTCCGAGTCTAGCTCTTCTGGCCATGCTTCTCTGGACACAGAAGAGAAAAACAGTCGCGTGCAAGAGGCGAGGCTTTCTCACGCAGTTGAGAAGGGGGACGATTGGGCGGAGCCATCCGCCTCTCACCGAGTGCAAAATACCCCCTACTACTGCACGGTACCTCGGGGCCGGATCACAACCATGCAAGAGAAAGTGGAGAGCTTTATCGCAAACCACACAATGGGCCCCGACTTTTTAGTGTTCGTGCCGGATCCAGAAGACACAGTCGTCTGGCCGGCTGGTACCTGTTATGATGGCGCCTGCTTTGGCTGCTACAAGGCGGCCATCAAGGCTGGGTTGCGCTTCCCACTACATCCGGCTGTTCAGCGGATCTTGGATGGGTATGAGTTGGGGTTATGGCAGTTAGCCCCGAATTCCTGGGTCAACGTACTCAGCTATGTGGCCGGGTGCGAACTGCACGGGGTGGAGCCGAACTTCGAGGCTTTCGCCCACATGAACTACCTCAGCCGGACCCCTAAGGCAGGCAGTACCGGCTGGTATTAATTGACGAGCCACAGGGGCTACCTCATGACGAGAGGTAAAGCAAACAAATGGAAGGACTGGCGGAGCACCTTCCTTATCATTGAGAGTTCAGACACAGAGCTGAACAAGCGCTTCAACAGGTGGAACAGGAATCCGCCCCTTCTTGCAAGCGGCCGCAACATGCCGCCTGTTCCCCCCAAGGCTAAGAAAGAGATCCTAGATAAAGGACTCTTCAAAGTAGAGTCGAAGGTGAACTCTACTTCAGGGGTACGAGAGCAAGTACCCCTGCACTGCGTCCCGAGCTTCAAATGGCTCTACGACGAGTACTTTTTGGCCGCCTGTGGCCTCAGCAGTCGGTGCTCAAGAGGTAGCCGGCCTGTCGAATACTCTGTTGTTCCATGCATTTCTTGTTATGACTTTTATTAACTTTGCTATTTGTTTTTGCAGCGGACGCCATGAGCAAAAT